TGCATTTCAGAGTCAGGGCTTCAATTCCCGTTCAAGGGCACACATACCTCTGTTGCAGGTTTGATCCCCAGCCCCTGTCTGGATTCCTGCAGGAGTCAACCAATTGATATCACTCCCTCCCTCCCTCCCTTCCCCTCCCTTCCTTTCACTCTCTAAGAATCAATGGAAAATATATCCTCAGGTGAGAATTCACCAAATAAATAAATAAATAAATAAATAAATAATGCGAACTTCAGGCTGAAAAAATATAGCAAGTGTTTGATGGGTTTTAATCAGAGGAAGGGCATAATTAGATCTTTATTTGTTTATTAAATTCTAATGACATACAGAATAGAGCCTTGGATGAACCCCCAGTAATGACTTCAGTGACACTGTTGTCCTGGAAGCAATATCAACTTACTATAACTCCTTTTTAAATCTTGTAATATGTATTAAGCATCTTTAAAAAGGTCAATATTTTTAGCTTAGTAATTTCATGTCTGGGAATTTATGTTAAGGAAACAACACAGAATGCACGATAAGCCTTTAGACCAGCATTGGTGGTCATCATTCAGTGTTAGAACATACTAATGAAATGGAATGAATAAGTAAATAATTGAATGACTGGTGGGAAAGAGTGGGAATATTGGAAACCATAATAGAAGAGTGGTTAATATACATTCACTGGGGAGTTATTGTGAATCCAGTTATAATGATGGTCTTGAAAATTTTTATGGTAACAGGAAAAAAAAGTAGAAAAGATACTTTATTATTATAGACTGGAGGCCTGGTGCACGAAATTTGTGCACTGGGGGAGGGGGGGGGGGAGGTGTCCCTCAGCCCAGCCTGCATCCTCTTCAATCTGGGACCCCTCAGGGCGGCAGTCGGACATCCCTCTCACAATGGGGGACTGCTGGCTCCCAACCACTCGCCTGCCTGCCTGCCTGATTGCCCCTAACCGCTTCTGCCTGCCAGCCTGATCACCCCTAACCACTCCCCTGCCAGCCTGATTGATGCCTAACTGCTCCCCTGCCAGCCCAGTTGCCCCTAACTGCCCTCCCCTGCCGGCCCAGTTCCCCCCAACTCCCTTCCCCTGCCAGCCTGGTTGCCCCTAACTGCCCTCCCCTGCTGGCCTGATCACCCACAACTACCCTCCCCTGCCGGCCATCTTGTGGCTATGGGCGCTGCCACCTTTGAGGGCGGGGCAGTCAATTAGCATATTCCCTCCTTATTGGCTGTGGGCGCTGCCATCTTTGCGACCGCGTGAGGGTCAATTAGCATATTCCCTCTTTATTAGATAGGATTGATTCCAACTCATACCTATGTTTACATAACAAACTTGAAGAAATACAGCAAATTATAATGGTGGGGTTTTGTCCTTCTCTATTTTCTCAATATCCTTCAGTGTATTTAATTCATTTATATAATAGGAAAAAGTAAAACTTTTGGACTATTAATTTTGCACTTTTGTTTGAGGTATCTGATAGATCAAAGTGACAATAAATATTAGACAATTAGAAATAGACTTGGTATTCAACTCTGGGTTTACACATCGGAGATATTCAATAAGTGTCAACTGAATGGAAGTTCTAACCATTTTTCTTTCTTTTGGGTCAAAATCCTATTAAAATGCATTAGAAGTTTTACCATCATTTGAACAAGGCTTATATTAATGGGGGGCGGGGGGACTCTTTCCTTTTTCAACTCCAAACCTAAAACCATTGAAGGGAATCACCTTTCATGCAAAAGTAAATTTAACCGGCCAATCTCAAGTAACATAGAAATACTTTATTTCAAACATGTATCATTTCATAAAGTTACTTTTTCATGTTGTACAAAGAGAACATTGATCGCTTGCCTTCATGCCAGTATCATTTTTCTTCCGTAGCCATTCTTACTCAAGGGTCCAGGGTCTGCTCTCACTGTTTTCAAATTCAATGAAATAGAAGCCAGAGGCATATTTAACCTATTGAATGTTGGCGAATTTCGAACTCTTGAACCATTTGATTATCCAGGTATTTTCTAATGAGAGGGCTTCAGTCCATTAGTCTATGTGCCAGCACACTAACTGTGTGCCTCAGCAGGTGTGCTTCGGTTTAAGATCGCTTCTTTGGGGGTGCAGAGTGGTATTTAGAAGAAAGGGTTGTTTTTCACTCTGACTGCAATAAATTGGAAACATGCTTACAGTCGGGGTGGGGGCAGCGTGTGATGGTCCTCTCATTGTTTCTGTGCCGTGAGGACAGGGACCATGACCCAGCACTCAGCTCCTCAAGGGCCTCTTTCACTAGTCGTATCTATCGTATCTATCACATCACGCTGGCTCGAGGGATCTGAAACACGAACGTGACAGTAAACAGTCAGCAACTTGAAATAGGCTTGCTGTTCAGCTCTGGGTTTATTCATTTCCTAGTGGGCGTTGGATTAGTTCATCCAATACCACGAGTAGTGGGACCCCACCGAAGTGGAACTTCGGTAATTTCGTGTATGATGTGATATGGCCAGGAAGTAGGGACGTAAGAAATGCCCGCGGCCTACGGCACCATGTTCGGCGCCCCTCCAAATCAGGAGTCACTCGGAGGGCGATCTCATGGCCAGAGCGAGGGCCTTCAAAATCACATCAACCTGCATCTGCCCAGCACTTTCTACGGGGAAGGCGATGGAATTAGGGTCCATAGAGACCAAAAAGAAAAGAAAAGCACAATGTGTCCTTTTCACGCAAGGGATTTGCCATTATAAACAGTGTCTGGGGGGGGAGGAATAAATCATGATAACATTATGGGACATTTACTGTGTGTTAGGTACCGTTCTGTGTGCTGTGTGTCATCCGGTTAATGCTGTCATCCACCCTCCCAGACAGGTACAAGGACCGTGTTTATCTTCTAGATCTGGAAACTGAGGCCCAAGGGAATCCAGAGTCTTTGCGACTTCAGACCCAGGCGTTCTGACTCCAGAGTCCTTTTAAGCATTACGCTACTAGTATATTGCCTCCCACACAAATTTTATATTTCCGGACCTCTGGGGGAAGGGGGAAGAAAAATGTAAGAGTATGCTGGGCAGAGCACAGCTTGTCTGTGATGGATTCCTTCTACCTGATCACTTGCATTCTTGTAAAATTTGAAATACACAGAGAATCTTCTTGTTTGTTCTCAACTATTTGGCCTAGGCTGGCGTGGAGTGCTCTTATCATGCAAACCTGTCTTTAATCTGATCCTAAATATTCTTGACTTGGGGCTAAGTGGACCGAACGGATGATTTTTGCTTGGGTTCTAAAGACTGAGCCCAGAAATATTTTCTTTCTGGACTTGCTACCTGAAATATGGTCAGCTGAGCAGTTACCGGCTGGCCTTTGATCCCGTTAGAGAGTTCTGAATTGGTGGCCCGGATCCTTGAATGAAATCTGATAGTAAAATAACACCAAGCTCAAGTCACAGAAGAGTGTAGTGTAATATATATGGTCAGAAAAAACAAGATTTGGGAAAAATAAAATGAGCTTCAATTGGCTTCTTTGCTCACTGGGGACTTTCTTTCCACTCTTCACCCGCCTCTTCACATAGCAGAGGCACAGCCAGCACAAAACCTCTGACTCCAACCGAGATTTTAGGAGCTATGGGAGCTTGAGAAACAGCAGCGCTCCTCATCACGAACAAAATTGAGTTTCTCAGAGTCAGGTACTGCTCTGATGTCATCTTCCCACACCATGTTATCTTCCAAGAATTTTCGCTTCATCACATTTGGCCTCTTTTGAGGGAGGCCGGACCCGTGGCCTTGGGCTCACAGCTGGACTGTTTCATCGCAGTCCTCGTGTTTCCTTAAGAGGGGTCTGTGGGCCTTTTCTCTCTGCCCTCTCCCCAGGGGCCAGCTTTCAGCAATTACAGGAACTACGTCAGCTGTTACAGAAACACAGTAGTTCAGCTCGTTTACGGATTCACTTAGCCAGTGTTTATTGGCAGCTTCCTATGTGCCCGAGCCTGCCCTGGACTGGGGTGAGAGTGAATGCCTCCTTAAATTCCATGCCTACGTGTCTCACTTGCCTCATCCTACTCCTGGCCTTGTGCCCGAGTACGGTGTAGGACACCAGGCTCACAGAGCTGATAAAGGTATGGCCTTTACCCCCCATACCGACAGTCCAGTGGCAGACACACAGTGAACCAGTGGATGTTGTTGTTACTGTCTCAAACTGTAAATTAAGCCATTCTACACATTTTTTTCCACTTTGAGTAGCTGACTTACGTAATGAACCCAAAACAGAAAAAACAAACAAACAAAAAAACCCCCCACACACAGTTTGGATATATGATTTCCTTTAAAATTGCTTACAGATTTGGCTGAAAGAAAAAATTCAGATATTACCAAACTCTCAGGATTAACCTAGGGAAGACTGTTTTAAATGCTGTTATTCACCAACTGAGTAGAAGAGTAACACTCTTCTTTTTTTGTTTTAATGAGAATAATTATAATAGACACAGAGGTGAAAGTAAGTCAACTGTAAGTGGTCATACCATCTCATTGCTTTGAAAGTGCTTTCTTAAAATTATAGTCAGTCAAATAGTTATTTTGAGAAGGGAGAATGAATTTCCCTTTTGGTTTCTAACTTAGCTTTTTTGGAATCGCACCGCAAAACTCCTTTGTGACAATATCGAGATGGGAGACAGGATGTAGGCATGCATTTTTATTGCCCGGGGTTTTGTAACTCCTGAGCAAGCATGATGTTTCTTCACCCTGCTTACCTTTCCTCCCTCTTCTTAATAAAGTCTGATTTGGATGTCGGGAGAGCCATTCAGACTGTTCAATCACGTGTTCGCTTCTGTCCAGCCTGTGTTGACCTTTGGTGCATATATCTAGTATTTGGAAAGGTCCTTCTGGTCAAAGATGTTTCTTTTATTAGGTGTGCTGGCCTTCTGTTGTGTTGCATACTACATTCTCCTATTTCTAGACAGTGGACTTTTTAAGATGTAAATAACTTAGGAACAAGTTTCTATTACATTTTAAAATATTCTTTCTTAATTTCTTCTTAATTACAGAGCAAAGAGATTGCATTTCAACTTCATGAGGATTTAATGAAGGTTCTTAATGAGCTGTATACGGTAAGCACGTAATCTTTCTTCTTTTGCAAGACTCTTTGGTTTAGAATTATGGTTTGCAGAAATACTGCTTTTATTAGAACTCATTCCAAGCTAGGGTGTTGACGGATGCTTGTCCGGTTGAAATAATGAACCAAGTGGATAGATGCACACTGCTGTATTCTTTTGCCATTGCCTCCCAATTTGGGGAGACTGCATTCAGGTAAGTATGTATATGCAGTTATCACACTTTAAGAAACTAGATTATAGGTGTTCTAATATGACATGTTTTTAATTGGTTGGATCATATGTGATCTGTACATTTTTTTCAATTCCAGATACTTGGTTTTAAATTGTTACCATTCTTAAATTAGCCATTCTGGTATTTGAGAAATTTAGAATTGCTTTATTCTGGTACTTAAAAAAATTTTTTCCGCTTCAGTGAAATTGTTTAGGACTTACTAGATTAAAATTCGTTTTGGGGAGGTATCTTTTTTTTTTTTTTAATTGATCTCAGAGAGAGGAAGAGGGAGAGAGAGAGAGAGAAAGAGAGAGAGAGAGAGAGGAACATTGATGTGAGAGAAACATCGATTGGTTGCTTCCAGCATGTGCCCTTACTGGGGATCGAACTGGAAACCTGGGTATGTGCCCTGACTGGGAATTGAACCTGCCACCTTTTGGTATATGGAACTCTGCTCCAACGAACTGAGCCACTCCAGCCAGGGCAGGAGGTTTCTATTTTTGTCAATAATTTGCTTTTCTGAATTTACATTTTATTCAGGCCACTGTGTATAAATTACATAACTCAAAATTATTTTAAGAAAACCAAAATCAATGAGGTTACAAGTTGGAATTAGTCATATGTCTATGTAAATTTGTTTTCCATTTAATGATCATACTATTAAATGCAAATTCCCTTTGGAGGAATTTGATGAGTTTTTATTTTATAACACATAATAACTTAATGAGAACTGAAAAGTAATAATCTGTTCTAACTATAGATATTTGTATTTGCACTGCACAAGATTATTTGAATTTTTCTTAACAGGCAAATTAAACCTGAAACTTAGTATTAAAATGTTTCTTGATTTACAATTTCTTTTGTTCCCAAAAATCCATGTGTGTAATATGCAGTTTGGGGAATTAAATTGTTTGTAATGCTCCATTGATACTTGCTAATTAAAAGAACCCATAGTTTTAAACTTTTTTGAAATTAGTGCTATTCTTATAAAACTCACTTTCCAATTTTTTGTGTGATACGTTTATATTTTTTGTAGCATGTTTGCTACACCTGTGGTTATGAATTTAATGGACAGTTTTATGTGTTAGTTCCTCTTTCAGAAACTTTCAACTTTATCTACAAAAGACTCTTGTTATAAGGTCATATCCATATTAAAAAATACCTAATGAAGTAGAGTTGATTGTAAAGACCATTTATTAGCCTGTGGTTTATTAATTTCTGACAACCCCAGGCATCAACCATTTCCAGAAACACTGGATCTAGAATTTAACAGTTAAATGAGCATTGTGCCCCTGAGACCTCCAGAAAAGAAACCGTATCTCATCTTCCATTGAACCATTTTACGATGAGGGCTTCATGGCACTTCTTCGGGACTCCCTTTGTTTGGGCATTGTTTAAAAAAAAAAAATCTGGTGGTTGTCATGGCAGTCAGAGACAAGAGCCTGTTGATTATGGTCTGAAATTAGTAGTACTAGTCAAAACAGTGGTGGCAAAGATAAACTTAATCGTTGAATATGAGAAGTCAGTAAACTGTTATGAAAACTTTATCTCAGTGAGAGATGTGTATAGTGAAATTTTTCCTGGATTCAGCCTATCAAGTGGACTCAGACATTTAGCAAACTGCGTGGTTGAATCAAGTCAGCTGCCACCTCCTCAGAACTCTCATCAGGATTAGTCTGAAAGCCTGAGGGAGCCAGGTCTTAGGAATGGCCGCCAGAGTTCAAATGACCCTGTCAGAGTCACTGACCTCTCAGAATCAGCTGAGGAATTAAAGGGTAGAGGAGACAAGCAATGAGTTATTATTATTGTTTTCTTTTTTTAATCCTCACCCGAGGATATTTTTTCCCATTGATTTTTAGAGAGAGTGGAAGGGAGGGAAGGGAAGGGGGGGAAGAAAGAGAGAAACATTGATGCCAGAGAGACTGGTTGCCTCCTGCACACGCCCAGACTGGGCTGTGAATTGAAACCTGTAACCCAGGTAGATGCCCTTGATCGGGAATTGAACCCATGACCAAGATCCTTTGGTCCAAGGGCTGACACTGTTAACCATTAGCCACACTGGCCAGGGCAGCAATGACTTTTTAATTAGGTACACTGTAGAGCACTTTGAGTTCTTAAAAAAAATTTTTTTTTACTTTATCCAGAGTGCATGCTCAGCTGGGGTCAGAGTTCATGTTTTGCAGGCAAAAGACCTTCATGTCACACACACACACACACAACATACACATACGTCTTTTACTCAAAAAGATGATGCTTGGTTTCTCTGACACTTTATGTTCGGATATACAAATTCTGTCTTGTTCAAATGAAATCTATCCATTATTTGTACTGTTTACATTCAGAAAGTGAGAAAAGGTGAGGAGTATTTGATCAGTGGGCCAGGAGTTGGGAAAACGTAGTTTAGGTTCCTTATTCAACTACTGACTGACCATGAACAAATAACCTTCTGATTTGCACCATGCTTAGAATTTTGTACAACCAATCTATACTAATAAAAGGGTAATATGCTAATTAGACCGGATAGACCGGACATCTTCCGGTTGTCCAGTCCTCCTTCCGGACAAAGCCATAGTGGCAGTGGGGGCCAAGGCAGAGGCGGTTAGGGGCAATCAGGCTGGCAGGGGAGCAGTTAGGGGCCATCAGGCCAGCAGGGGAGGGCAGTTAGGGGCAATCAGGCAGGCAGGTAAGCGGTTGGTTAGGAGCCAGCGGTCCTGGATTATGAGAAGGATGTCTGACTACCAGTTTAGGCCTTGTGGGATCGGGCCTAAACCGGCAGTCAAACATCCCCGCAAGGGGTCCCAGATTGGAGAGGGTGCAGGCTGAGCTGAAGGACCCCCTCCCCCCATGTACAAATTTTGTGCACCAGGCCTCTAGTCTATATATATAAAAGCCTAATATGCAAATTATCCCCAGGGGATTTCAACTGGGAGACCGATCGCTGGCTGTGGTGGCTGAGCTGACCACCAGTGGGCGGCACAGAATGAAGGAAGGCCCTGGCCAGCAGCCAGCAGCCAGGGAAGGGAGGCCCCAGCTGGCAGCTGGAAGACTCCAGCTGCCTAGGACCCTACCCGTGCACGAATTTCATGCACTGGGCCTCTAGTCTATAATAATAAAAGCGTAATATGCAAATCGACTGAACAGCCAAACAGGGGACCAACCGTCCGGACGACCTCCTGGACGAAGCCCAGGCTGCGAGGGCCTACCCTTGCACAAATTTCGTGCATCAGGCCTCTAGTGATGTAATCATGATTTCTGAATGACAGGTGTAAAATAAGTAGCCTCAGGGAATTGAGGATGCTGTTTAATGGCCTTTTCAGACAGATATTCACTCCTTCCCTTCTCTTTGTCCTGGATACTCCTTGGGAGTTGACAGTGAACATTCTGAGTATATGACCTTCCTTCTACCAGGGGAGAGCTTGGTACTACATTAGAGTCGACCCTAGTGGTGGGCAGCAGCCTCTTGTGTGGACTTCTTTACCTTAAAATATTTCTCCCAGAGGTCTGCTTATTATGCCGAACATTATGCCAGAAAGCTTTGTCTTAAATAAAATGTAAACGGCCAGGAAGAACAGGAAGAGATCCTTTAGGATCATTATACCAGTACCTTAGTGTGGACCAGATTTTTCAGATCCTCTGAGCACAGGTTGTGCGCATCAGGCATAAAGGCGTGGCCTTCTGAGCAGGGAAGATGGGGTGGCGGCTGCAGAGCGCCGTCTGGAAGAGGAGGGAAGGTTTCCAGTATTTTGCCTCAGTCTTGCCTGTATTTGCAGAAACAGGGCCTCCGAATGGTTTCAAGCCTCCGTTTCAATTCGTAGACCACAAGGGTCAGCCACAGCAGTTAGGATTCGTTTGGCTTTGAGTGACAGGAACTCAAAAATAACAGCATAAACAAAATAGAGGTTTACAGTGCCTCTCACATAAAAGAAGTTCAGAGACTGGCACCCCTGGGCTGGTCAGGAGGTTACATAAAGCCATCTGAGATCAGGCTCCTCTGAATCCACTGCTCAGAGAAACCTAATCGTAACTTCTGTCCTCATAACTCAGGTTCGTTCTTAGAGCTCCATCTGCATTGTACATCTGCATGGAGAAAGGGAAGAAGGGCGGAGCCCCATCTCTTAAGGGGACTTACTGAAAGTCTCGTGTAACACTTTCACCTACGTCTCATTGGCCAGAACTTAGAACATGGTTCCACCATGCTTTTAGCTAGCTGTCCAGATCATTCCTCACCAGTTACAAATTGGGGATTCTGTTCATTTGAGAGAGAAGGGGAGGTATTTGTAAGTGACGAGCCATGCTGTCAGTGTAGCTAACATTTATGCATGCTTATTAGGTATGTGGTAGTTATTGTGCTAAGCACGTTGGTGCTTGCCTTATCTCATGCAGTCCTCACAGTATCTCTATGAGGTACTTACTGTCATTATTCCCATTGTACAGAAAAGAAACTAAGGCTCAGAGAGGCTTGCCCCAGGTTGCACAGTAAGTAGAAGAGTGGGAGCTCAAGTCCAGGTCCAGAGCCCACGCGTTAGTTGCTTTAACAAAAGCATAGGTGAAAAATTAAATATGTGATTCACTGGCAACCTGACTGCTTAGAAATGTTGCTTTAAATGATCTCACAGATGGAACTCATTGGGCTAAAAAGTGAACCAAGATCCTCAGACTCTCTTTCTGGGTCTGATTCACTAGTCTTTTGGGTTTAACTTTTGAAAGAGAATCAAAGTAGGGTTAAGAAAACAGGGAGAGCACTGTGCTATAAGAAACAAAAATGACTGGACTGGCAGTCAGC